TGCAATTTGCATACATTTACATAAACCTGTCTGAGCTCTGTAAGTCTGAACAGAGGTGATTTTCAAGGGCTGGATTCTTATTACCTTTCCCTTGAAGACTGTCACCCGTAACGGGGTCCTTCTTTATTAAATGTATATCAGGAAACAGGTCGTTGGAGGTTGAAAGAAGATAGAATCCTAACCAAAAGGGAATGAGTCTATTAGAAAAAGCTTTATATTCTTTTAGTTCCTTTAGAGCAAAACTAAGTATGTATGGAGCACCGACTATTCACCAGATGCATTTTCAGATGCTGGGAATTCATATTGGATGTCAGACCTGCTCACTTTACCAGTAATTCTAATAAAAGAGATGGTTATAAAAACAATTAACAAGCAGAGAAAGAAAAAAAGATAACTCCAGGTAGTGTTAACAGCCATACAGGAAATAAAACTGGGCATTGAATCAGGGAGTAACTCAAAGACAGTGAAGGGAGTGGCATTAAATAGCTTTCCCTGGGAAGACACTGGAGACCTAAATCAGGTCAAAGTTGTCAAGAGTGAAGGGGTCAGTCTAGATAGATAGAGGAGAAAGAGAGAGATTAGATAGATAGCAGACAGATAGATGATAGATTAGGTAGATAGATAGATAGATAGATAGATAGATAGATAGATAGATAGATAGGCAGAGGGAGAGGTTACTTGGTCCAAGGAAATGAGGACGAGAAAATCAGATGAGAGAAATATGATTTTTTAGGCCATCTTACTTACCTCTGAAAAATCTCTTTCTTTGAGGAAATGAAAGACCTTTGGTATAACTTCTCTTTGACAGTTACATCAAAGTGAATTCATGGGTCCACGCCCAGTGAATGGTGTGTGCAAATGAAGAATTCAAGACAGCTAATAAGGATGCCTACAAGAAAAACCTTACTTGAGTAGTATTAAATTAAAAGACCCTGTCTCCACTGCCAGTAAAAGGTGGGGCAGAGGGAAGAAGGGCAATAAGTAAATAATTCATTTAATATAGCTCCATATAGATTTCTTTCACAAACTCGAGATTTCTATGGACTAGAAAGAGAATGTTAAATATGGTTAGATTATGCTGTAGCTTTATTTGCAATCAGTTTTCTCTCTTTAAAAAAATTTTTTTTTAAATAACTTGCCGTGAACATCCGTTCCCAGGCTCTCATGAGTTGGGTATTTTCTTCTTTGAGAAGCAGTGAGATTTTAGCTGGCCAAATTGAAGTCATTCTCTGCATTCATAGAACACATATTCTGAAATGTTTGGGGCAGTATTTATTTTTATATCACTGTAGAAACTCCTAAAAGACAAGATGTGGTTCATATGAGAGAGGAAGTTGTCAGTATGAAGTTTAAAAAACCGTTGGGACAATAGTTATCAGAATTTTATGTCCCTTTCTGTAGGTCTGAAATATGGCTAAGGATTTCCCATTAAGAAGTCTCCCAATAATTCAAAGACAACCTTTTGAAAAACTCTATCCTAAGAACATCGTGGGGACTGTAAACCGGCTATCTTATTAAAGTTGGAACTGAAAGTTCATAGAAACCAAACATTTTCTCAGAATATTCTAGAAAGTCCTTAAGTCCACTGGGGGCATATCTGTTGAGATGTTGGAGCCTCTTAGTGGGTCAGTAGATTTTGGTCACCTCTCAGTTGTTCTTACAGGCACATCACTTAGGTCAGACATTGGGGTATCACACCTCTCCCTTCTGGAAAGAGCTGAGAGTTCTTCTCAGCAGAAAGCTGAGCACCTTCCCACAATCCCAACTTTCACCACTGCCTTTGCTCAGGGACATTCACTCGAGGCCTCCTGTGTTTGACCTTCAGCCCAAGGACACAGGTTTTCCACAAAAGGCAGCACACCTGTCCTTCACTACCTTTCAGGAGTTCCATATAATGGATGTTTTCATAAAGGCATGCTAACAGGGGCAGGAAACGATCACCAAACCCTAAAACATGCTCATTCTTCTGAGATTGTTCCCTGAATAGTGTCCAGTGGGTCTCTCATATGGGTAGCTTCATGATTGGCAAATATTCTTCTATGCTGTTTTTTTGAGTAAAACTTTTTGAAGGGCCATGATTCATTTGACAGAAAATGCTCCTTCCAAAACTTTTGGAAAATTACAGCATTCTGATCATCTTATATACAGGTTATTTGAAAGTCACCTTAGATATCATGCATGTATTGATTAGGAATTGTTATGGCTCTTGAAGGCAACTGAAATAGATTCCATATTTAATCTCTACCAGATAAATGACATTTTCTTTAGGATTTAAAAAGCACTTTGGAAGTGTATAGTCTCCGGATCATAATTAGGAATGACAATTATCAGAATACTAGAGGCCTCTCAGCCTGGCCTGCACCCTCTCACAATCCAGGACCCCTCGGAGGATGTAATAGTGCTAGAAGCAGCAGGCGATTGGGGAGGAGCCTGAGTCACTCCTCGGCTCATTTTGGCCCTGCTGCGCCTGCTGCCACTGCTTGGTATGCTCGCTGGTCAGTGCTCCTGCATTGAGTGTCTGCCCCCTAGTGGCCAATGCATATCATAGCGACCTGTGGACCTGTCATTCGGTTGGTCAGTTGCTTTGGCTTTTATATATATAGACTAGAGACCCAGTGCAGGAATTCGTGCATGGGTGGGGTCCCTAGGCCTGGCTGGTGATCAGGGCTGATAGGGGCCGGACCGATGGGAGCTGGGCTAATCAGAATTGGGGCCTGCTGGCCAGGGGGTGAAGGATGGGGGAAGGGACCGTGAGAGGTTGGCCGACCCTTATCGGGATGGGTCAGGGCCAGCTGGCTGTGGGGAGGGACCAGCTGGGTGGGGAGGAAATGCAGGAGGTTGGCTGGCCAGGGGGAGGGACCTGGGGAGGTTGGCTGTGGGAGCACACTGACCACCAGGGAGCAGCTCCTGCATTGAGCATCTGCACCCTGGTGGTCAGTGCACATCATAGCAACTGGTTGACCGGTCGTTCCTGTCTTTCTAGTCTTTGGTCGTAATGGTCACTTAGGCTTTTATAAATATACTAGAGGCCCGGTGCACAAAAATTTGTGCACTCGGGGGGAAGAGGGAGTCCCTCAGCCCGGCCTGTGCCCTCTCACAGTCTGGTACCCCTCGGGAGATAACGACCTGCTGGCTTCGGCCTGCTCCCAGGTGGCAGAGGGCAGGCCCAATCCCTAGGTGCAGCCCCTGGTCGGGCTCAGAGCAGGGCCGATTGGGGAGTTGGGGCACTGCCCCCATCATGCACAGAGCAGGGCGATAGGGAGGTTGTGATGCCACCCTCAGTCACACTCAGGGTAGGGTCGATTGGGGGGTTGAGGCACCGTCCCCTGTCACACTCAAGGCAGGGTCGATGGGGAGGTTGCGGCGCCACCCCCTGTCACACACAGAGCAGGGCCAATCAGGGGGTTGGGGCACTGCCCCCTGTCACGCACAGAGCAGGGCCCATCAGGGGGTTGGGGCGCCGCCACTCTCAAACTCAGGGCAGGGCCGATGGGGAGGTTATGGCTCTACCCCGTCACACACAGAGCAGGGCCGATCAGGGGGTTGGGGCGCCGCACCCTGTCACACACAGAGCCGCAGGGCAATCAGGGGGTTGGGGAGCTCCCCCCATCAGGCACAGAGTAGGGCTGATCAGGGGGTTGGGGCACCTTCCCCTGTCACAAACAGAGCAGAGTGGATAGGGAGGTTGTGGCCCCGCCCCCGTCACACACAGAGCAGCAGGGCGATCAGGGGGTTTGGGCACTGCCCCATGTCACGCTGATCCCGGTGCTGGGAGGCCTCTCGGCTCCGCTGATCCCGATGCCGGGAGGCCTCGCGGCTCCGCTGATCCCGTTGCTGGGAGGCATATTACCCTTTTACTATATAGGATAGAGGCCTGGTGCATGGGTGGGTGCTGGCTGGTTGGCCCTGAAGGGTGTCCTAGATCAGGGTGGGGGTCCCCACTGGGGTGCCTGGCCAGCCTGGGTGAGGGGATGATGGCTGTTTGCAGCTGGTCACACATCCTTCAGGGTGGGGGTCCCCACTGGGGTGCCTGGCCAGCCTGGGTGAGGGGATGATGGCTATTTGCAGGTGGTCACACACCCTTCATGGTGGGGGTCCACACTGGGGTGCCTGGCCAGTCTGGGTGAGGGGCTGAGGGCTGTTTTCAGGCTGGGGGTGACTGAAGCTCCCAACCGCTCCTTTTTTTCTTTTTTTTTATTCTGGGCCAGCTTTAGCTTTTAGGCTTGGCTCCAGCTCTTAGGCCTCCACTGCTAAAAGTAGGTTTCTGGCCTTTGCTCACAATGTTGCGATCCTGCTGGCTGAAGCCCGGCGGACTAAATCAGGTTTCTGGGGTTTTGTTTAGCTTCTATATTTGTTACATAGTTGCTTAGAGTTGTAGCTCAGAGGCCTGCAGTAGCAGGCAGGTAACGTTGGAGTCCTCCGTCACTGAAGCAAGCAAGCCTCATGTTAGTTTCAAGCTGCCTGGCTGCCGGCCGCCATCTTGGCTGGCAGTTAATTTGCGTATTGCCCTGATTAGCCAATGGGAAGGGTAGCGGTCATACGCCAATTACCATTTTTCTCTTTTATTAGATAGGATAGATATTGCTGCCAAGATCTCTATTCCTGTGAGCTTTCAAATTTTTGTGAACTTATCAAACAGAGAAATGCGAAGAATTATTTAGTGGTAACCCATAACAGACCAAAAGAAGGAAATTATTATATTGGCTCTAAAAAATATTGATATGGAAAAAAATTAATTACCACATCATTTTCAAAAGGTTCACCTGTGGCTGGTCAGTAGTTTCCATTCTATTAACTTGTATAGGCAGAAAATCAAAGGAGGGAATCAATCTATTTCCCTAGTACTGTGTAGTTTTCAAAGAATGTTTATATGCCCAAACTATTATTCTCTGAATTTTAAAATTATAAAAGACACCAACCCTTTAGATGTGCGGTTAATTTGCAACGATATTCATTGTTGAATCAAAGGTGATGTTAATGTTTTGTGTATTTGTTTCAAGGCTGGAAATTGAATCCAGTTGTGGGTGCCGTCTACAGTCCCGAATTCTATGCAGGTAAACAGTTTCTGTTTTGCACGATGTCTTCTTGTTCTGTTCTATCTGTGCTTTGCCTGCCAATAAAGAATGGGTTTTGGAAAAAAAAAATGGAGCCAAGTAAATCCTTAAGTTCTGGGTGATTTTATGTATTTATTATTATTATTATTACTTTTTTTGGCAAAATCAAAAGTGTTTAAAACCCTTTGAAAAAATCAAGGGGGATTATGTCAGTTCCCTGTGGAGCAAGCCTGGAGTCACTGCTCCTTATGACATTTCCCATTGGTTTTGCCTTAAAAAAAAGTGTGGATACTTTATGCAGATGCATATTGAGCAAATGTTCACGCCCATTTTTGGTCAGTGCCTGGATGTGTTCTTTTAGCCATACATTTCCGTTTGGGGTCGCGTTTCTTTTCCCCTGGCAAAGCAGAGAATTGAATTAGTTATTCCAATAGTGTGGCAATGAGTTGGAATTGCCAAGAGAAGGACTATTGAGAAAACTGGAAAGAACTAAGTTGTCTTTCTTTCTCCATTGATCAATTTTCTTTAGTAATTCCAGTGCTCTCTGCTTTGCCATCATGGGTGTATCTCTCTTCCCCCTTCCCTGCCTTCCCTGCAACTATCTCTCAACTTGGAAAGACACTGTAGTAGAAAACTTGACCATCAAATTCAGAGAGAGAGAGTAGCCCAGAACAACAGTGGCTGAGATTTTGCTTGCCTTGGCCTGTCACTTCTGCCTGTTGTGTCCTGGCTCATTAACAAGGCTGCATTTAACACCTGGGGACTGAGGAGATTTGCCCCATGGGTATTGAAAAGAGGTCTTTCTTTGATGTGACCCTTACTTTTTAATAAGGAGAAAGCAATGACCACTTGGTCTGCCCATTTACTTAGTGAGTTCTTGATGGTAAGTCATTCCCCCTGCTTTGTTTTTTCTGGGATGCCTCACTGCAGTCACCGTCATGATACTAAGCATCCACCTTAGTGAATAACAAGGGAGCATGGGAAACTTAGCTACTTTGGTTTAATAACCAATTTGATTTTTTTTAGAAGGTAAATCTGGGAAGGTCCAATATGTGTTCTGGATTTTAGATAGACAACGTCTGCAGTTGTTTGGATTTTGCCACAAGCCTGGGATAAGTCAAGGGACTCTATGACTGTGGAGTAGCAGTGTTGATGCTTATGAGGGAGGAGCGAGATAGCCATAAGGCTTCCCGTGACCATATGGTGGAACCCATATGCTAACAGGACACCTAGCAGAGTGAGCAACATGGACACTGCACTCAAAACAGCCTGAGTTCAAATTCTGGCCCCTCTTTTGGCAAGCTGTGTGACCCTAGGCAAGTTACTTAACCTCTCTGTGCCTCAGTGTCTTCATCTGTTAAATGGGAGATGATAATAGTAACAAACACACAGGTATTTACAAGAATTACGTGGATTAATATATGAAGAGTGTTTGGTGCAGAGCTGGAACCATGTAAACATTGGGTAAATAGGAACAAGTTACTATTCCACCTTGTTGCCATAAGTGAAAGTTAGCAGAGGGCTGACGATGCTGAACTGTGAGTATACCACTAAACTAAGAGAGTGTCTTCTTATCTCATGAGAGGACTAGTCCTTCCGTTCTCAGCATGTCCATTTGGCGGAAGTTAATTTTTGGGACCAGAAGTAAGGCAGTCTGTTCGGGGGAAATAGATATTGCTGGAGTACATCCTTGTCCAAAATGGCAAATAAATGAAATTGGCCCAAGGGCACAAGGAGACCTTAAGACAGCACTTCTGTGCACCCGAAGACGCTGCCCAGTGCCGTGGAGCAGCGGAAGTAAAGAGGGGGCAGATTCTGTGTGTGGTGGGTGCATGCGCACTCGCCTACCTGCATGCTTTGTCCCCAAGTTATGGGTCAAGAACAAGGAGCAAGATGTCATCTGCCGAAGAGGTAGGGTATGCGCATGCCTTGTAGTAGAGAGAAGAGAGTGCATTTTTCTGGTCCCATGCAAAGTAGTTGGTCATTTTTTTTCTGGCAACCAGGAAAACACCAAATATCTTTGTCAAACCCATATGCAAAGATGTGGTTTTTTAAGTGGACAATAAGACAGAATAAACGATGTAGACTACGGCATACATTCGAGAGCAAATTAATCTGTGTAACTTTTAGAACATTAGAACAGTGATTCAGATTAGTCCTGGGCCCACCCTTGGTAGTTAAATCACTGGGCTATATAGAGAAAGAATACGTTCTCATACGGGTAAATACGGGCCGAGTTTTTTCTATGCTCAGATACTGTTACACACCCTATACCTAAATTAATGTGTTAAAATTCTTGTGGCAATTTTCCAAATGAGGGGACTAAGGTTCAAGGAGTTAGCATCATGGGACTAAGATGTCACAGCTGGTAGGAAGCCGGCTAGAATTTGAAAGCAAGAGGCTATGTGCTTTACAACCAGGTATGCTGCTTCTTTCTTTTTTATGAATATTAGAAGTCATTCTTACTGACTGTGCCCTATGGTAGCAGAGATTCCTGATCTGTGTCCAAATTAAGAAGAGAAATAAGATAATGATTTTGGATTATTTCCACCACCATCTGCCACCATATTCAGACATGTCATCCAGTTGTGTCAGGGGAAGCTTGAAGGAGTCTGACCAACCACATAACGATTTCTATGACTTGTTCCAAACACCTTAAACCTTAAAAACAGGGGCCACAGATAAGTCAGTGACGCTTGGGAAATCTGAACATTTGTGGTTTGAGTGGACAGTATCGAGCCTCTGCTTAATCAGAAGCTTTTCCCTTTTTGCCTGTATATCTGTGTCTGTAGGTAGACAGAGCTTGTGGTAGTCAGAAATGTGGGGAAATACTGTTGCAAATTCAACACTCCAAAACTATCCCTTGGAAATATTTTTAAAAAACACTGAGACTCCTGCCAGCTTAAATCTAAAGTTTCAGGCACCTGTATCTATGGAATGCATACAGGGGTGGGCAAAAGTAGGTTTAGTTATAATATAAATAAACAAGACAATGTTTAATAAATGATAATACAGGAATAAATGTACTTTTTGCTCACTCCTGTATATATAAAAATATAGGTATGAAATATATTCATTTCCATAACCAGGTATAATTACTAAGGTCACCCATTTAAATACCCATGACTAAGAATTTCGGGGGGCATTTTAAATTTCCCCAAGTATAAAAATAGCCTGCATTTATCTTGCAATTTTGAATATGCCTCAAAGCTGCAATGAAGACCCTGTCATTGATTTGCTAGGGATGTTTAGTGGGCCAGCCCTGTGTCTGCCTGAGATAGAAAGCCAGACTTATTAGTCATTTCTCTGTATAAGATGCTGTGTTAATGACACATATCATAATATTCCATAGTATAATTATTGATTTTCTGAAGCTTATGCAGAATTAACAGCCCAGCCTCCAATTGTCTCTCCGAATGGGGCATGAAAAGTTCACATATTTTGTAAATTAAAATCGATATTTTCAATCTCTCCTAAAGGTAATTTTCCTAATTTAGTGGACTTTTCCCTAACATTTATTTTCTCTTTTAATTATAAAATGGCAGGGTATTGATTTCCCTGTATAACCTCCTGGCGCCCTGAGTGCGTTTTTATTGCTAACGCAGGGTGGGGGTGGGGAGAGCCGTTGAACCTCTTAATGAGGATCTTTAATTACTAGCTTTGTATTAATTTGCTTTGATAAATTATGACATGCGCCCTCCCTCGCCGACACAGTCCAAGGGAGGCATTCAGAAAGCTGTGCAGGAAGGTCTTTCATTTCGGCGGTTCTTCTGAGCTCTCAGTCCTGGACGAACTCTTAAACACTCACACGACTCGGCCCCCAGAGCAGGTAGACATAAATCAGCTTAATCCCACGACCCTGTATGAATCTTCTCCGAAGACAAAGTGGTATTTCCCTGTTATACTAAGCAGCATTGATTAGTTTTCCATATGTATCATCATCTTCAGACTTCTTGAGGCTTATTCTCAAGACAAAAGGTTGATAAGTCAATAAAATAAAATAAAAAGTCCAGATGGGTCTCCAAGACTTTAGCCTGTCTCTATGTCCATTCCGTTTTAGAGTTTAAGGACAACGGAAGACCCCACATAGAAGAACAGTATCTACAAATGTCTGTTCCCAGGAGCATGCCTCAACTTACTTAGTGTAATTAGAATAGTGTTTCTAAGAATCTCAAGGAGGAAGGCTCAGAGGGGATTCTTACAGTTTTCCCGTCTGGGTGAGAGATTCCCTTTGCTTGCTAATAAAAAAGGTTTTTAAAAAGTGGTGTCTTTGAGAGATAATCATGATATCGAGCCCACGAAACTGTTGATCGAAAGCACCTTTAATCTTCATAAATAAGTACAACAAAATCAAAATAAATAACAGAAGGTTATGCGAAGATGTCAACATGGTACTGACAAATGGCAAAGTCATCTGTTTCTCAATTGCCGCTAAGATCGCTGCAAAGCTTAACCGCACTGTATATCATATCTGCCAACTCATTTCTGTGATTAAATATTCCATCAGTGGGGCTCTAAGGCGGCAAAGCTTAACAAGATTCATAAGATGCACCACTTGAACACGCATAACTCACTTCCAGGGATGGAGAGCACCCCGCTTGCAAAGGAAAATTGGACTCCAGTTCAATTACTCCACAAGTCGCGATCAATAAGGGAAGGAAAGGACCTTTCAGTGCAATGCAAATCTAAGATATAGTTCGGTCCTGATGAAAAGAAACACACAATTCAAGTCCATAGTAGAAAGATACAGAGTAAATTACTCAAAAGCCTTGAAGATGACAATGAAAAATTGTCTTAGTGAGACTATTACTATGAGCAGGTTTTGTATTTTTTTTTGGGGGGGGGTGAGGGAAGAGGGGGTCCTGAATGTATACTCCTCCTGAAAATAAAAATTTCTGATTCCAAGGGACAAAACAATAACAGGTACTTAAAGAAGGGCATACCTGGCTGCAATGTCATATTTGAAAGGTGGTCAGGTCTTAAAATTAGGTTATCCTGGG